AACGAGATGCATGATTGTATGTTACAAGGTGATTTTCTGTTACAAGAATGTATTGCGAATTGGACGGCACTGTTTATTTTGTCTGAGGCTGAACAAGTGTATCGTCTTGAAATCGAGGTTATACAGTTGTACAGACTTTACTTTTCGGGCGGAAATGGTGAAAAATAAATCGGACCAACAACAGTGTCACATGTCGAAACATGATCCGTGAATAGACAACGAGCTGAACGTGGAAAAGTTTCTCTCAAATTACGTAAATGAGAAATGTGGAATCGAATGTGGCACGCAATCAGTGTGCAGCAACGACAGCTTTATGGTCGAATCCCAGACAAAGTGGTTTTTCTAATTAGGTTGCAGGAATTAGTTTCATGGGAGCTCTCAGCTGGAGCAAGCGTTGGCGCACTAATCGCCTTGTCAAGTAACATCCCCGATTACGGGTGACAGTATATGGGGGCCAAGAAACCAGCTGAGTTGCCTGCAATGTGTGCTGCGACTGCGAGCCAGGGTGTCTGATGTCTGTCTTCACCTTGTTGTCATGTTTGGATTGCGGAGGTGTCCAGCCAGACTCGGGCCTTCCTCGTCTACTCTTTAACCTTTTTTTTTTATCTTTCTTTCTTTATTAATTTCACGATTATTGGTGAATGAGTGGATGGAGTGAAGAGCCTTTTCTATCCCTGCGCCTGATGGTACGGTGCAATCTCGATATACCTACGAACTTGTGGGGATTCCAGAAAAAGAATATTATAAGGAATACTACAGTACAGTATTGCATAATGAGATTTTTAAGATTATTGACTAATGTGAAGACTTTCTCAAAATTAAACCTGCATACAGTATATTCAACATCTTCATTTTGTGGCCTCTTCGGGTGTTTTTCAGTGTTTGAAAAAGTGTGATTTTGAAAACAAAAATTGTGAATGTCAATAACAAAGATTTACCCTGAATAACAGGTAAACTCAGCTCTAGAACTTTTTGTGGACTTGACGTTTTTCAAGCAATTTCTGCAGAGATTTGTAAGGGTGGTGGATCCCTTCCAACGTACGTTTTGTTGGGTTTATTATTTTTTTTTTAATCTAACCCCCTTCCCCCCAATCTTTCCTTAACGAGGGAAAATTTTGAGAGAGAGGATGTTCAGGGGAATTTTGAAGAATTATGGTCCGTGATTCCACCATCCATGTATAACCAAAGAACCAGTCACAGTCACATTTTGATGAGGAAATTTGAGACTTTGCCTGATACCTTCATTAGATATATTTTCATTAGGAAAATCACATCATGCTCCACAGAAAAGTTTCTTATGCATGTACTGGAATTGGAGAGTTTGTTGTTGCAAGCTTTTTATAATGTGAACTCTCTGTAGGACTTCTCCCAGGATTTGAAAAAAAGTTGTATACAGGTGATACCTCGCAATTTTACTATACTGTAGTCCGTTGCCAAACCAGGGTCGCATTGAAAAGCAGTCAAATTGCGAGACACTTCGTTAAATAAATAAAAAATCAATACAAATCTGCGACTCTGCGAAAAAAAAAAAGTTGGCCAATGCAGGTCGAATTGCGTGGCAAAGGTTGAATCAACCTCCCTGCAAATTCGACCGTCAAATTGCGGGACAGTTGAATTGTGTGAGGTCGAATTGCGAGGTACCACCTGTATAATGAAAAAAATTGCTGTCCTTTAATTGTATTAGCTGTGACAAGATTTTACTTAATTACATGCAACTGCACATGCACCAAGCGTAGAACATCCTTCTGCAGGCAAAAATCTCCAAGTCGAATTTCAGGAGACCAGAATGAAAAAAAATTGTTTTACGGAGATTTCCAGTGAGGAAAACAAGCATTTTTGTTGTTAGGAAGATAGAATACTTACAGGAAATTGTAATTTGTAATATACTGGGCCTTCAATTACTTGTTAAATTAATTTGAAACACGTATTTATGTGGCCCTTGGTCATATTAATGCATGTAAGAGTATCTGCCTCATTTTTATTTTTTCTTTAAAAAAAAACAGTGTATAGCCATCGTAGCAGGTGACGTTCTCTGAGGGAGCGAGTATCTGCAATTACTGTGATTCATTTCACAGCTGTTTCGTTATGGGGATAAATGATCGCAGCCCAGTACTTTTCCAGGATTTGGTTCCACGCTTCCTATTGTTTCGTCAGCTCATCCTTTCGGCGGTTGAAGTTGAGACATACGGTCGATGGGAATTCGTCAAGCCCCATCACTTCCGAAGCACAGTAAGTGAAACTACTGCTTCTGGTGGCTTCCGTTTCATTCAATTACCGAAAGGCCTTGAACGACGAAGTGTTGCCCCCTTTTTTCTTTACTCTCGGAGAAAAAAAATGTCTCTCGCGAACCCCGGAAGTCGTCTATTCATTGTCCCCTAGTGCCCGAGATTGACTAATGATTTTAAGAGCAGTATAATGATTACTCCGATGTCGAGGCGGCATCTCCCCGGGCTGGGTTCATGGGTAATCCGGGGCGTCAGTCACGCCAACGGTCCTGGCTCGTTTTCTCGGGACACTGCATGTGTGAAGTAATGAGCCGTGAAATTGAGCATCTCTCGCACAGTGTTCTTTCCGTAAATTCGTACGTAACGTGTGTAGACGTGTACGTGTGTACAGTGTATGTAGTATGTTGAGCTAGGCCGAACTCAGCTCAAGTACTTGGCAAACTTTTTTGTCAGGTTCTTAAAAGTTAGTGTTGGGTTCCTGGATGAGCCGTTTTCCCACTTTGGGTGACTATATAGTTGCATTCATTCAAATGAAGCAAACTGCGAAACCCACCGGCTGCTGAAGACACTATTTACGCGTATGGATAAACAGTACAGTACTGTACATGTACGAGGGTTGTACCTCTTAAACGCGGCCTTTGATATTTCAAGAGACGGTGTAATTGTAAAGAAAAAAAATATTCTTGACATAGCTTACGATGCTCAAAGGTTCTAGTATTTTTTCAGATTTAAAAAGTTTGCAATTTACAGTACAGTACATCACGAAGATCTCTAAAAATATCAGTGGCCAGGTGATTATTGAAATTTCTTTGTTGTTTTAATCAATGCATGTTAGATAATGGTTGAGCAATACCTTTTAGGTGATCATTAAAAACTTATGGCTAGAAATACAATTATGTTACGCCGTATTTTCGGAATTGTTGAAACATCTTGGATGATGGTTCAAAAAATTGAAATGTATTGTTTTAACCTATGTATTTTAGGCAAGGCTCAAACTTTTATGAAAATTGAAAATTAGCATGTTTCTTTGTTTTAACGAATAACCTTCAGATGATGCTTGAAGCATTTTAGATAATGGTTAGAATATTAAAATTTCTCCATTGTCTCAAACTGGAATACCGTACTCATTAGGTTGCATGCATGCGAACTCCATTGATGATTCTAAATTGCACGTACTGTGATGCATATTCAGTTTCACCCTTGTGTTGATGAGATTCTTCGTCAATTTCTGCAATTAGCACGGCACGTTCCGCAATCTGGACTCGTCGTTTTATTGCCCAATCACAAATCGCACCGATGCAGGTGTTACCTCTATTTTTTTTTCTTCACTGTTGGAAGAACAAGAAGTACTCGAATTCGAGTTTACGGCTTCATTGTACTGATATTCGCGTGATTGTTGGACTACAGCGGATCATAAGGAAGATACAGCTCGATTTTCCATTCCTCTTTTCGTTGAAGAAGTTTGCAGGCAATTTCTGTATTCATATTGACACTTGTTCCACATTGCTGTACAGCGAATACTGTACGTCGGTATCATTTACAGACTGTGTGCAACTTTGCTAAACCGAAAAGTTGATCGATGTTGAAACAGTCGTATGCCTTTATGTCGAGTTGAAGTATGATATATTTCTGTTGTTCATTCCGAACGGAATATAAGTTCATTGGCTGGCGATCGTATTATTACAAACAGTGTCGACTGGAAAATTTCTGAGACCGAGAATACAGTACCTCGAATAATTTCCTCACGCTTTATTTTCATCATGTAAATTCTATGTTTGGCTGAGACCCTGTTTCGAGGTGCTGTATCCGTCAGCAATTTTCACGATGCTCACGAATGCCCTGAATGAGTATCGTCTCAATCCTTCAATTTTATTTTCGTTGCAGTTTGACTAAATTCAACCGGGTGGAGGAAATCCCGAACCTAATTTTTGATCAAGTGGGTTCCATTAATTTAGCAATATCTGCGATCTCCACAAACTCAGAGAAGTAAAACGACGAGAAGAACGATTGAGAATTCAAACTTCATCGAAAGTATGTGCAGTATAGTTCGGAATGGGATCGTGGCTAGTTGCATGTTCATGAACCATGAAATACTGATAGAGTTGAAGGGGCACACAATGTTGTGTCCATTATATGATTCCCAGTTCGAGGACAGTTTCGTCGCCATAATTCAAAACATGTTCCGTTCTCTTGGCAGGCGAAGTGAACAGTGTGTAAAACGCCAATTTATTGCCTTTTATTTTTCAATTTGATTTCTTCGATTTTTTATTGTCAATTGCTCGGAACGTTGTGCACTAGACTAGATCGTATCTCACATTCGTAGAAAGTCTCATGAGCTGTTTAACGAGTGCAGTGGGATGCAAAAAAGCGCTCTCAAAGAATATGCTCGGTTCGCGTGCGAAATTTATTTCTTTCTTGTGAAGGAAGCGCGCTTCTACAATGTCAACCTGGAACTCAAAGTGTTCGCTCATTTTTTAGTACAGTGTACTACCCTTGCATGGAAGTTGAATGTATAGTACATTTATTATTCCTTGTATCGTCATCATAATTTGTTTTCCAAGAAGTCCGTTGAGCATTAGTTTGCATGCATGCAACCTAATGAGTACAGTATTCCAGTTTGAGACATTTTCAGATTTAAATGCTCAACGGACTTCTTGGAAAACAAATTAGTCCTGGTGGGCATCGGTTCAGAAGCTTCTGTGCGTAGTGTTTAGGTTGCTGGGGCTCTTTCTCATTCCTCATTGCCTTAACTCGTTCGTTAGCTGGGATTTGGGAATGCTTTGGTCTGACCTCTTCGGTTCCGAAGGTGTGGGGGAATGTTGGGCCATGTGTGGAGCGGTGTTGACTGCTGCACCCGCTGACCTCTACGTGGTTTCCTCTGAGGCAATACTGTGTATATATACAGTTAGGGTTACAGTATCCCTGTTCTGCGAATTGCTGGGCGTTGGTCTGCAGCAGGGCGAGACGACATGGCCAAATGCTGACTTGGGTTTCGAGATTTCCTCCTATCGAACTGATGTCTCTTGTGTTTATTTATTTTTTATTCTGCATAGATTTCGGGGACTTTGAATTTAGTAAAACCTCGTGGCAACGAACTTTCAGCGACCTGATGAAATTTGTTGTAACGAAAAATTCTTCGTATCGAGATTCTATGGTTATTAACACATTTTAGGCTTGCATTTTGTGGGAAATAGGTAATTAATGCTGTGAAGTGCTTCAGAAAGAAATAGCTCAAGACGTGTCGCCATTTCAAAATATTTCTGATGAAATGAAGGAAGACAATTTTGGAAAAAATATTGCAGGACTGTATTTGCCTTTCATTAAACCTGCCTCTCTAATGAAGGGTCCTTTGTCTGGAAAAATAAAATTAAACGAAAGGGCTTGTGTTAGAATTCTTAGAAATACTGTACCGTGCTTCCTTCTGGGTCAGCTTATCCATTCATACCGGTCTGTTCTTTCAAATGAAGGAAAATTATTTCCAACGTATTATTTATTTTGAAAGAAACGTATACATTTTAAAATGGAGCTAAAGAATTTCCGCAGAAAATTTGTTGTTGTTGAAGTTGGACTGCTGCACCATTTCATTTTTTTTCTTTCTTTTGCTATTTCAAAAATAATCTCGATGTCCCATGCTCAGAATCAGGACCGAAAATACGTTATTCAGTACTAAGATTCTAGACAAAAATGAATTCAATAAAACCAGATTTATATGACATGGTGCCTATACGGAGAAGCTTCTGGGAACCAGAAAAAATCATTATAACAATAAAAATCGTTACAACGACGTTCGTGGTAATTGAATGTTACCGTATTGTATATACGTATACAGGACGTGAATGAACATTAGATGTATGTGTTTTTTTTCAAGTGCGTACTTTTTACGTGCTTTTATCATCTCCATTCGACTTTCTTTCGTTTGGGGTAATCTTTCACCAACGTGATTTTCCCTTTCAATATTTTGGGCGGGGGTTTGTGCATTGGGGCACACAGTAAGCACTGTACAGTAGAGTAAAGTACTGTAGTTGCATCAAGTCACATGTTTCAAGGGATGATGTTTCAACTGTAGTGCATTGTTTTAATTTATCTGGTTTAATTTTGCTTTCGTTTCAGACATCCATTGATGCAGAAGACGTGAAGAGCGGGATCGGTTCCACTCGGGAAATCGGCAAGTCCGGACTGGTGGAGAAAGCAAACGGTGAGCTTGACAAATTACTTCTCCAGCTGTGCCTGTTGGCATGTTGAAATTGACCTGTATGTTGAGCTATACAGTATATCTTTTGTCGTTGTTGTCATGATTTTAGTGGGTGTCGAGGCGCCAGGCGTGGATGACGTCGCAGGACCACTTCCATCCCAGGTGAGTCTGCGGATTTCGTTTCAATTTTTCATTTATGTCTGAGTTCTGTCTGAGGTTGGTGGTCATCAACGCTTGGAGAGAAAAAAATCATAAGTGAAAAAAAATTTCAATACCGGGGGAAAACTGTGATTCTCCGCCAAATGTTCATCCGGTCGATTCGGCTAAATGCCCAAATGTTACGAACGATTACCTTTTTGAAACAACGACTCAACGAATAAAATCAAGTATTTCAAACGTTGATGAACGTAAAACTGCTGATCTGCACGCAAATCGAAAGGGGGAGTATCCTTATCAATGTATCCGAGATATTTAATCATTCGCAGTGAATTGACAAAAGACCAAGTTGTGATTACGAATTCGTTCTGACCGATCGTCTGTTCTCTAACAACGATTCCGAAAGTCAGGAGCCTATTCGGATTTCCATCTGGTTCTGTGCTGCATGTATATGATGAAAGGTTTGCTGATGAATAATTTCCTGTCTGACGTGGATGACATTTTTTCCCATGCTTTCCCGAGAAAAATATGAAATTATAAAAGTATAAAATCATCCAGAGTTGAATGATCAAAACAGCATTCCTAAAGAGCTTCAATTTCTTTGCTCGCACTCTGGCATAGATTATTGTACGAAGCTTGTCTATTGGGAATTTATCGCGGTTGAAACGACTTTTTTCGGGCAAAATGTTTGTTGGAACTGATCTAGGATGACGGAACCCTTTCGTTCAAGCTTGATAGTATAACAAACGTGATACAGTGCTTGAGCTGTAAGAGCAGCTCATCGTAATACTGTACCAGGTTGAATAGTGACGTCAACTCGGGAAAGTTATTTTGAAAACGATAGCCAAGTTTGGAAACGGTTGTTTTGTCGGATGCGCTGCTGCCTGACAAAGGACGAAAGATTGAGCTCGAATATAAGTTCGTTTCAAGAGAAGGCAAAAAGGAGTGGGGATCAAAGGGCTTTTATCCTCTATTGTTGCGTCGGCAGCATCAGTGACGGTATATACAGTATATATATATACTTACAGTATTCTTCTGTACTGTACTGTACTGTACTGTACGATCATATACAGTACTGTATTCGTGAAAGACAGATGGGAATCATGCGGTATATTTCCTGCAGTGTAGTCGGAAGGTATGGTTGAAGGAGGAGAACGACCGAGAGAGAGAGGAGGTGGGGTGTGTTTCGGGGCTTTTGTTCCAGCGCGGTTTTCACGGGTTCCGCCGCGGAACTCGTCTGGGCCGGATTTTGCTGCGTCATGCCGTTGTCCTCGCTTGCTCGGCCGCACGCGAAGACGTGAGCGTGCGGAAATTGAGTGATGCTAGTCGCGGGCCAAGTATACAGCATAGTGTAGTGATGGTAGGAAATACCCGCGCTCTTTTTTTTTCTTTTTTTCCCGTCCTCCGTTAGCTGTTGCTTTTATTCCCCTCGTTCGTCGCGGAATTCCTCTCACGTCGTTTATCGTATCGCGTACTCTTTATATATACCGTATATTTCATGCTGTATATGGTGCCTGCTTGCTGCTTACTTTAGGTTTCCGTCAGCGATCGGGAAAATGCGTGTGGGCGACTCTTTATGCCTTTTTTTTCTTTTAAGGTGTTATTATTATTAATACTGTATTTACTATTTCCGAGTGTGCGTATTTCCCTCGCTTCTTCATCAAGTGGTGTCTCATGGCGGCGAGTATACTTCGTATGCAGTAGTAGCTGGCTGTTTTCTCAGAGTTTCTGGTTTTTTGTTGTGTATTTTGCTCGCCAATATTCAGTGGAGCGTTCCTTATTGTGCTGATGGGAACGGTAGCCTACCGAGAAGGTGTTTTGTTATCTTCATCACGATTAACGGCAAGGTTTAAGTTTCTGTGGTTCAGTCGCCCACTTTGATTTTTGGCCGGTTTTCTGTGCTTCATCGTGTTTTCATCTATGTTCATTACCATATGGGGATTCCAATGAGATCGAGGATTGGGTTGAACAATTTGTTGCAGCTAGACATGAACGTCTTGTCATCTAGATTTCTAGACATTCCCAGTATAGAAATAGGGATGCGGCCAAGTAGCGTACCCGTTTTTTTTTCTTTCTTTTTTGGATGCACAAAATCATGAACAGTTTGAGCGATTATTGCTCCACGGATTGTAATGTATTGGGCTTGAAATAATTGAATAAAACTGAGCCCTCTGTGTTTTGCTCTGAGATGTCATTGCATTTAATGATGAGAAATGCAACACACTGTCGCAGTTATCTGCTTCTATACCTTGAATTTGAATGGACCAGCAAAAAATTATACTTGGATAGGTTTTGAGTTAGGGAGGCTGAGGAAACCACTGTATAAGGCTGGGAAAATTAAATTTACGGAGGTTTTCGGCTTGGGGAGGTTCGAGTGGAAGAGAGCTGTTGAATTGTTCATATCAAGAACTAGAACTGCTTCTTGAATGATACATTTCATGTATCATCTGAAATGATCAGACATTTATAGAAATGTGTTTTGAATTTCAATTGCGAACTCAGCGGGCACTATATTAACCTACCTGCATCGGTAAAACCACCGTTCCACTTGAAAGAAGATACAGACCAAATGGAATGTGCAATTTCTTGTGCCAACATGTTCCATGTAAAATTGATACTTTACAAGAAATATGCTAGCAGTTGGACCCGCTGGGTAACAAAAACCTACCTGTGTCGAATTTTTGTGTAGAACAGCACTGTACCTGTCTGAATTCCATGAAGAACAATGTATTATGGACCTCCTCAACTTTAAGACGTTTCTCTTCAAACCCGTCAAATGAAAATTTCTAGGGAGCTTTCTGCAATTATTCTGGGGTCTTGAGCAAAAGAAAATCAACAGAAATATTACTTGATGTTTTTCAAAAGGAATGTGAGTGGCTGATGTCGCTATTGCCTCAAAGTTCAAAGTCCCAGAGTACCATAGCACAAATTTGAAAGTCTCTCATTCTTCATTTTCCACAAGGAAAAGCTAGCTTCCCCTAGTGAAAAATCCGATGTTCGACTTGAAGAGTTTCCACTCTGCAAGCTTTTACGTGCAGAATTGCAAGTGGCACGCGTTGTGTATGTTGAATTGTTGAGTGATTGACAAGTAGAATTTTCCCATAGAATAGATTTTCAATAGCCCTGGTCAACTTTATTGAAGTTGCAGGCAAAATGACCTGAAGAGTGATTTTCATGCTCATTTCCGGAATGAAAGCATTCGCCCCCCGTGCGAAGGAGTATTTGAAATTAAATTTGCGTGACGGGGCTTTCACGTTTTCCGTGTCGAGCACCATCAATCAAGTGAACCTCTTGAATGTCCTCATCCTCACTCGGTCGAAAAGTAAGTCGAGAGCACGGACGATGTGAATCTCAGGAACTCACGCAGTGTCTATAGTCGTATGTGGTGGTGGATGGGTGTGTTTCGATCGCGGATCAGATAACTTCATTGGGAGACGTGACCAGGTATTTTCCTCCGCATGCTTGGTCCGTATTGATTCCGATGCTGGAGAATGAGACGGGCCGAAGAAAATCCTTGGCAAGACCGCAGATGGTCGGAAGGTGCTTGATTCCACGGTCCGGAGAAGGAGAATTGAAATATTCTGGGGCTCAGTTTACGATTATGGGTCCAACGAAAGTTCCGTGGGGATAACAAGTTGAAACGGATAGCAGAAACCTGCCAGGGTGACTTTTGCAAAAAAAAAAAATTCACAGAAAATGTCAAGCAAGGCAGAATTTTTTCTTCTGGCTATAATTTTTTTCAAGACAATAATAATCGCATGCCGTTCCAATTTCTATTCTTGTACCATTGGTTAGACCCGTCGGAAGGAAGGTGTACAATGAACGGCGGAGTGATACATTTCAGTAGGGATTGATGAATTTTTCGTCAAGGCCTGTGGACGACTGACTCACATTGCTTGGTGAAATCGCGTTGAAACTCACAACGAAACCCACATCAACGTTCATTTTTGCATGAGCGAAAAATTAAATTTAGTCTGACGCTGCTATTTCCACTGCTGTGCTCTTGGCAGGGAAGCAATTCATGTGTGTGACTTGATGTTTTGGGTAGATCCGTAGAATCTTCGCTATTTACAAAATGGTCGTTGGGCAGAAACTGTATTTGCCTGCTCAATTACCACGCGCAAGTTTTACATGGTCGAAGTTTTCTTGCGGATGCCTGAACGGATACTGTTCCATAGCGTGCACCTGAGTCTCCTTAGTCCACCAATATAGTACAGTATTTCAGTAGACATGAGGCTGATGGGTCTTATGCAGCCCATGCAGTGGCATGTATTTCAGCTGGAATGATCTTTATTTTATTTCGAAGAGTATACTGGTAGTGGAATTATCTGAGATGATGATTGTGAGCTTTTCCCCGACTGATCGGATTGTTCCATGAACGGAACAAAAACGTGAACAGTTATAACTCACAGTCACATCACACGTAATTATGTTGCACCGACATTTCCGTCAGTTGCCAAGTGATATGCCCACATGCAGAAATTTACAGTACAGTATGGTACTGCATCCGAAAGCCATTTTTTACCTATTGTAGTAAAATCACGGAGAGATGTCACTTTGAAGTCCTCTTCCTTGCATATCTTCATTCTTGGGTGACAATAACTCAGAATTTGTTTAAAACATGTCTAAAATAATTTATTGCGTAACTATAAAAAAGAAGAAAAAAGAAATACAGTACATGACGCAGCGGTGCAAGAATAAACATCAGACTTGCTTCAGAAGAGAGCGAGTCAAAGTGTGTCGGAAAATTTGCGAGCAAAATTATTTTCAGTCATGTGTTACAGTACCTATTTCCGAGAATGAATTTGCGTTTTAAAATCCTCAGTGCCTCATTGTTAAATTATGGGAGTAGTACTGCAGTACAGTACTGCGCATGCTCGTCGTTCTCGGTGCTAAATAAAAAGCGTGCCGTGTTGCGTGCGATATCAGAGAAGAGTTACGATACTCTGTTTCTTATTCTGCCGTCTGAAAAGGCATGAAATATAACGAAGACTCGGTGTACGTTTGCAACGACTTGTGCCTCGTTGTTTGGAAGCCGCGAGAGTCATAATCGGCGCTCGGAAAGGGCCGATTTATCTAATGACCGTGCCTATTTTCCGCGGGATATCGTTTTTTGTGCACTTGATTTGTAACATTGAAGTTTTAACGAGCCATTTGGAGGTTGGGATCGGCTGCAGGAGGGCAATTAAGAGGCGCCGGTGCCTCAGTCGGACGCCACGGTTGTTGCGGGGCGTAATTGACGCGAGATGGAATTTTGTAGCTGGCTCACACGCGAGGAAATTAGCGCTCATTTGCTTGGGAGGGTGTCCTGACTTGCGCAAGGCAGAGGTGGCAATAAGAAGGCGTTGAGACTATAGTCACTGGAACGATGACTGGCTTTCCTTGTTTCTTTTCTTGTTTCAAGTGTTGGCGATTTTTTTTTTCCCCTTTCGGGGGTAATGAGGATCGTTGTGTGGTGTAACATCATCGCGTGTGTCAGACCAACGGACCTGGCGAAATGTATAATGTGTCCCGATTGCACTGCTGTATTTTCCTGGTACCCATCCTAGAACAGTGTTCCTCAACCTTTTTTGGGCCGGCAAATTTCCACAACATTTTTTGCGGACCGGCAAATTTTGAACATTTTTTCTGCAAACCACCAATGTTTCATAAGATTTTATCCGACTCGAAAACTTGTTGCTTGAAAGACTCTATGGCAAGTACCGGCAAAAAACTTCTGGACAGGCGCTGGTCCGCGGACCATGGGTTGAAGAACACTGCACTATGCTGTGTTTTGGTAAGGGCTTTGAATTGGAATAAAAGAATGTGATGCAGTGCTGTACAAAAAACTTATTTTGTAGGGTCTCACTGTGACTAGAAGGGTAGATGTATGAGATTCAAAGCATGTTACAACCTTTTACGGTTTATATAGTGCCACTTCCGAAACCTAATCAAGTTTCTTGAGCTTTTCCGGCTTTGGCATGTGTACGACTCTTGTGACGGTCTCAAATGGAAGACATGTCCATTTCTGAAATTCCACGAAACATCTTCCCCTCTGTCTTTTTTTTAAAGGAGACATTTCATACCATTCCACCAAAAAAGAAAATAAATAAATTCTAACCTCTTCGAGTCAAACTTCTAAGGACCAACAAGGAAAATGAAGAGTCTGGAAGGTTCCCATTTGGTGAAACAAGCATTTTTTTATGAGGGAAAGGAAGAATCATAGTAAATTGTATTTTGTGGAATTCTGAGCCTCAAGTTGTTAAAGGAGTTTACAGGATGATGAACTTGATGGCAATAGGACGACAAAGAATGTTTCACT